GGCTATTGCCAACAGGTGCAGTTGTGCACTCCTTGCCATGATGAATTTCATGGTCTTATTCTGATATTCTTGCCAGACAAGTGAGATAAGTCACAACAGCAAACATCAAAGCTAAACAATGCTAGAGTCAAATTGAAGGAATCTGCACATTCATCATAGTGTCTAGCTACGGCGGCAAATCAGACTTTGATCATCCAAAGCGGATAATTGTTAATTAGCTTAACTAATGATGAGGCTAGCAATCAGTTCATCCCAGCCTGCATAAAAATATATGTATTAAATTTGTTTGCTGTTTGGTATATACTTCCTTTTATCACTGTAACCACATATATTTCAAGTTTGCATTTCTATGTTCAATCTATCTTTTTCATTCAAGTTTGTCTTTCAGATTTCAGTTTAGGACTTGCGTTTAATGTTTTGCATTTTCATAATTTTGAGATTTGCTAAAATGTCACAGAAAGGCTACAGATTTAGTAATACTATGACGAAGTGAAGGATAATGTACACATTAACCTTATTGAAGTTTATGACATATGAGAATACAGTTACATTATTTATTTGATATCCCCTAAGAGATTTCAGCATAAGGTAATTTGAGATTTATGTAAAAGGTTCCACTCTATAATTAATAATAAATATGAAATTCCAGAGGTGTTTCAATACTGAATGCATGCTATTGCACAGAGATGAGAAATGACATGTGCTTAATGAGGGGATTTCCATTATTGTTGATGCTCCTAGAAGGACTGTTGTTGCATGCTTTAGACTTCTGACAGAGCACATTTGCTTGTGCAGCCATCTTTCATAATCAGGGGTTCTAGATTATCAGAACTCAGTTTTATGTCATATGTTCAAGTGTTCAGCCATCAACTTATTATGTCTGAACACCTATAGAGGTGTTCTGGAATTAAGAGGTTTAATAATATTGTGAATAGCTGGTCAGCCTTAGAAATGATGGCTTGAGTGCCAAAGTCCAGCGTTTGTAAATAAGACAGCATAAAAAAAATACTGAAAAAATAACTGACCAACCTTTTTAAATATAAAATAATCATATAAGTACAGCAATTTATATGTGTATTAATTCGCTAAGTTTTTTCTTTAACTCCTCTTTTTAGAAATGGCATTTCCTATGTAAGTTTTTAATTTTAAAGCAGCACGAGTAGTAAATATGCCCTACATACAGTGTGGCAGAAAAGTCTCCGCAGTTTAAAACAGAAATAAATGCACCACAGACATTATTCCAAATTTCATTTTACCACCCAACCATTAATCATCATTTTGTTTCAAAGTATAATATTACCCAAATATTTGCCATCGATTTTAATGTGGCACATGCACATAAATTATGGATACAGAGAGATGTCATTTGTGTGAGGTATATAAAAACCAGCTATATTTGGGAAAGAACCTTGTGGCAGCCATAATTCCCCATCTTCTAAGCAAATTTGTTTACAGTCCTACAGCAACAATAGTGTATTCTTACTGCTGTACTTGATAAAAATCTTATAGTAGCCAATGTAGTCTCTACTCATCTCTAGCTATGTCAAGATAAGGGAGAGTAAGGTGATCAATGAACAAGAGGCCCATGAAATGGCAGGGAAGATTAGTCAATGAAAAGCAAGGCTGGAAGGAAAAGTCTATGGACAGCAGGAAACAGAAAAAGAAGGGGAATTCTGTGCAAGTGAAGGATAATGTACAGAGAAGAGAGGACAAATGCTGTTAAGCTGCATCACTTGAAGGAAGCCTGGGAACATTACAAAGAGAATTCAGAAGCCTGATGTATTTCCACATCAATGCCTGTAATCTACAAACAAAAGCACTCCCTCAGCCTAATTTATTTTTGCTTTTAACATTATAACTATTGGTACAGAATCACATCAGGCTATTAAATTCTCTCGGCGATGGTCAAGATTTTCCCTCTAGTTTAACAGCTGAACATGGTTTGCTTTTTCTTCCCTTCCCTGAAATAGTTCTTCACATCACTGAATCCCCTGTATTTCTTCTTGCAGGCTCCTCACTGCCGTCCTTTCTCGTCCAGATTCCCACCCCCTCCTTTTTGTTTACCTTATTTTCCACCTTTCATTCATCAGTGATCCTTATTTTCTATCTTGATCTCAGCAGAGAAGAGGAATGATTACAATGGTTGCCGTTAACATAGAAGAGGAATGATTACAATGCTGTTACTTTATCACATATGGCGATAAGACAGACCACTATTCTAGAGTTACATAACTTTTACCAAATACGACTAGAAAAACAGCATTTATGGCTACTGCAAGGTTTTTTTCCCCAAATCTGATGGAGTTTCATGTTCCTTATATAAATCATATCACACTGTATCCATAATTTATGCATCATATCAAAACATAGAATGAGAATTGTATTTGAATCCTGACTACACCGGTTATCATAAATTAAGGAAACATCACAAAAATCACAATGACTGAAAAAGTTACATGTAGAATTTTATGAAACTTACCCATAATATACAACACATATTACGGACAATTATTGTAGTATAGAAATTAGCACATGTATAAAATGAACAAATCAAAGATGTCAGTTTGCTATAGTAAAAGTACCTTCAATATGAAATATAATCGCCTCTAGAAGCAATACAGCACATTCAGCGATGTGTGATGCTTTCAATTATGCGGTCTATCAGTTCCATAGGAAGTGAGAGCCATTGCTCTTGCAAAGTAGTTGCAAGCACGGCAAGGGTCTAAGGGGGCGGATTGAGAGCAGCTAGACATCTCCCTAAAGCATCCCAAACATGCTCGATAGGATTCAAGTCCGGGGATCGAGCTAACCACTCTATGTGCATAATTGTTTCTTGTTGAATATAATTATATACGATGCGAGCCCTGTGTGGTCTTGCGTTGTCGTCCTGTAACAGGAAAGCATCACCTACTGCCCCGGCATATGGGCACACATAAGCATCAAGGATGTCATCTCTATAAACATGAGTATTCACGGTTCCCCTAGGAAAAACATGGAGGTCTGTGCGTCCACCCAAAGAGATGCCCCCCCTAAACACAGACACTGCCTCTTCGGTATGCATCTCTTTCATGGATGTTTGACGGATAATAACGGGTTCCAAGTTCTCTCCATATCAAATAATGCCTACTATCGCGTTCTAGACTAAACCTGGACTCATCCGTAAAGAGAACAGCCCTCCATTGCTCAGGCGTCCAGTGAACATGTTGTCGTGCCCACTGCAAACGGTCCCTCCTATGGCATGACTTGAGCGGCACGCAAATGGTTGGTCGCCTCGCATACAGACCACCTTCGTGAAGCCTTCTACGCACAGTTGATGTTGACACCAACCTTCCAGTGGCTGCAGCAAGGGAGGATCTAAGAAGAGTCGGAGTAGCGGTTCTATTCCTGAGTGCACATAATGTCAAACATCGGCCATCGGCGCTTGTCGTAGCAGTTGGCCGTCCTTGGTTGAACCTCCTAGGTGCCGAATCTGTGATTTGAAATTGCCTTTGTCTATAAACCACAGAAAGACTCACATTTAGCCATCTGGCCACTTCTGTTTGACTTTGTCCTACCTCTAGTCTCCCAATGGCTTTCTATTGTAGTTCTGTATGCAAATGATGCCTGGAGATCATTATTACGAACAGGTTATCTCAGATTTCTGATGTCACTATCACAGTGAAATATGTGGGCTTGCTCTCAAACATGGACTTGCCCCTCACAGATGATGTATTCTGAGTACAGCGCCACTAATTTGCATATTGGAGGTTTACTCAGTTACTCTTATTTGGCAACATATTCAAATTTTACATGGTTTGACTTATTTTTTAGGGAGTTATTGCTATTTTTGTGATTTTTCCTTAATTTATGATAACCAGTGTATGAATTCAGTCACTGCATCTGATATTAAAGCAAATTTTTCATCTTGAATTTTCTCAACTGTCTGTATCCTATATTTCCAAAACAAAGCAGGTAGTTCTGTGAGGAATGTTTCCATGGTATAAGGGGTGTTCAAATGAAAAGGTACGGAACTTCATAACAAATAAACCAGTTGAAATTTGGCATAACGTAATGAGACATCTAAGGACATGAATTTAGTGTCCGGCAAGACAGTGTGCATGTGCGGGGTCCCTGCACATGATGAAGGAGAGAAGCAAGCAGTTGTGTATTCCGCCCAATTGATGCGGCAGTGCGTCTGAGGAAATCATGACGTTCACATTGCAAAATGAGACAACTGAGGAGCAGCAAGATGTTATCAGATTTCTGAATGTTTAATGAAAAAGGAGTAGAAACCAGCCGATATTTATTGGCAGATGTTGGCCATATACAGGGAAGACCATACATCCGACAAATCAGTGAGAAACTGGAGTGCCAATTTTTGTGAAGGCCTAGAGTGTTCGAATCATAACCCGAGACCAACCCAAACACGGTAATCATGGCCAAACTCATCGACAAGGTGAATGACCTGGTAAGACATGGTAACTGAAATGAAACACTTCAACTCGGACAATGAACTGGACATGGTGTAGGACAAGCTCCTGTCACAGCCACGGGAATCCTGGGAACAGGGAATCCTAAGGTTCATGAAACAGTGGGATAGTTGCGCTTCAGGCCTGTAGTGATGACTTGTGAATATAGCCTTCAATATATCCACAATGTCATTTTGTACCTTTTCCTTTGAACAATCCTAATACTTCATTTCACAATACTGTGACATTGCACGGCTGGCTCACTTACCATATTTGTTCCCTTGTGATTATTTTCTTTAGGGCCACCTAAAAACTGTAGTCTTTGAACATATGCCACAGATAACAGAGCTACTGTTTATATTCAAGTTCACATTACATAGTAAAATCTACTGCATATTAAATTCTGTCCATTATGAAATTACAAAATTATTAAAATGATGTTTAGAACACATAGTTTTGAACAAGGAATTGTGCACATGTAGAACAGAAGGTAATTAATATGGCAAGAAAGACATCAAAATTTTAGAAGATGCTGAACAAAATACAACATACCTACTGTTTAAATACAGTCGTTTTTGCCTAATGTTTAATGTACGAGTATTGTGAATAAAGCGTGCAATTTCCTGTGGATTATCATCAACTAATTGGTGCTTGACAAAATAATCCATACCCTGAAAAGAATACAAAAGTATGCATATAGAAACATCCAAAATGTAATTATTACTTACAGAGTATAAAATGCAGTTCAAGATATAGCAATTGTTATCAATACAAAACATGCTCTTACGTTCCTTTTGAATCACATTTTGATTAACATATCTCATCTAAAAGTAAAAATATAGTTTGAGACCAGCAGAGTTTGATTTTCGATATTCAAATATAAGACATTTGCTTCTAAAAACATAATGACTGATTATCAGTCCCAGTTGCCCAAATCAAAGGACACCCATGTTATTCTTAGTGTCGGCAGACTGCCAGATTTGACACTATCAGTTTTATCTTACGAGACGATGTGAGCCAACTGTGTACAAGTCCTTGAACACCACAGATTAACTCAGTGCAGACATTCAATTAGCCTTCCACACATGGAAGATGTCTGGCATATCTTTGCACATGTGAAACAGTCCATAATCTAACGATTCAATACAACACATATTAATATCGACGGTCCCTTGTCTGAACATTCTGAAATAATTCATGTAGGACACTGAATGGCAACATCACAGTGCCAGCTCATCTGTCAGGCCAAAAAAGACATCATAAGAATTTGAGCACATATTAATGCAACCACTTTCGTGCAGTTATGTGACTTTTCACAGGAAAACATAAATGATGACTTATAATTGAAAACAAAAATTATTACGTATGCACATATTTTATATTGGGGGGGGAGTGATATCAATCAAATCAATCTTCACGTGGTGCTCCTATTTAAACTAAATGACTGATACCTATTGTCTTTAAGTAGTCTTCATTGATGAAGAAGTAGAAAAGCATTTTTGATTTGGTGATAGCAGCAAGTTCCTGAGGGTTTTAGAGGTAGAAAGAATTGAAGCAAAAAGTCTTTTCTAAGACTAGGCCAAAACCAGCTTCTAAGATTTCTTTTTGGAACACTAGCGAATTAACTCATGGCAAATTTACTGAATTGAAAACCATTATTTCTAATCATGATTTTGACATAATGGGTATTGTTGAAAGTGGAGCCGCTGCAGACAATGAAGTATATTTTAATAGTCCTGAATATCAGAAATTTGTGTTAAAGTGATCAAAATAAATTGCTTCTGGCATTACGTTTTTGTAAACTTTCTTTGAAGGCAAAGTCAATTACCTCTCACCAGATGACTACCAACAATAAAATATAATTCTTGAAAATACATGCATGGAGACAAGAGACCTTACATGAGATATTTTTGTATAATCCTCCAAAGAATAAACCCAGTTTTGAAAGCATAATAATCAATTGGGATAGAAATTCACTTATATTTGGTGACCTCAATGCTCCCTCAACTCACTGGGTTTATTCGACTTCAAATGGTATTGGTTGTGTATTTGAAACTTTTATTGATTTCATTGAGAATGAAAGAAATTCTCCAACTTTTCTCTCTTACAATGGAATTGTCTCTCATCCTGATTTACTCTTAGCCCACCCAACTCTGTTATGCCAAATACAGCATGAGTTAGTTGATAGTCCTGGTAGTGCTGGGCATAAAATATTACTATCCAGTATTGTAAGATATAAATCCCCTTACAGGGAGCCCTGTCAGGTTTACTGGAACCTTAAAAAGGCAAACTGTTTCAACTATAAAGGCCTCACTGATACATTTATGAACTACTTTGTTCTCCCAAATCTTGAACATTCTTCAAAACTCTTTACCTATGCTATAAGTGTGCTTCTCTATGTATCCCAAGAGAACAACAAAAGAAATATACCCTTTTTTGGAATGACAAATTGCCGAAGCTTTGTGAAAGCAGAAATAAGGCTCATGAGAAGGCTCGAAATATCAGCCTTAGTAAGGACTGTATAGCTTTGCATAAGACAGGTTATCTTACAAAGATCAATAATTGAAGCAAAGAGTTCCTTGTATAAAAACTTTCTAGAAAAATTGGACTTTAGGAGGGATGGCATAAAGGCTCATAATTTTTTGTTCCAGATAAACAATCGAAACATCAGAAGAAAAGAACCTATTTAAAAAGGTTTTAAAGAACTCAAGATATTTCGAACACTTTTTGTGGGCATTATGCTAGGATAAGCAATCACAGGCCTACTAATAAAATAATAAAAAAAGTAAACTCAAACCACCTCAGGACAACAATTATCCACTTTTTGAACATCTTTTTAATGCTGATTTCTCTTCTGGGGAATTGAAAAATAGCCTTGATGCCTTAAAAGTAAAATTGCAGTTCTGGATAAAATCCTACCCAAGTTCCTTATAAATCTGGGAGATTCTGCAAAACTATGTTGGCATTCATTAACCAAACTTGGAGAAATGGCTTGTCAACTACTTGGAGAAAGGCTGTGATAATACAATTCTCAGGCTTAACAAACCAGTTGAAAATATGGACAGTTACCACCTGTTTTCTCTTACAAGCATAATATGTAAATTAACTGAGAGATGATTAATTGCTAACAAATTAAAGTTTGTACTAGACAAAATTGGTTTAATATCTGAAAAACAAGCAGTTTTCCGTAGACATAGATGTACAGTTGAACAAATTGCATGCCTGTCCCAAGAGATAAAAGATGGCTTTCAAAGAAGGCAAAGTACCCTTGCAGTATTTGTGGACTTTAAAAATGCATTTGATAGGGTCTGGAGAGCTGGACTGCTTAGGAAGTTAATTTCCTGTGACATTTCAGGCACCTGTTTTAAATGAATTAAAAGTTTTCTTGACCAACACTTTATAAGTGTTAAATATGGTCATGCTGTGTCAGGTTATAGTGAAACCAAACAGGGTTTACCCCAAGGAGCTGTTCTAAGCCTGATTCTTTTTAATATAATGATCACTGATTTAATAGACACTATTTCCAGTTCTGTACCTGGCATGTATGTTTAACTATTTGCTGATGATGTGGTAATGAGTGAAACAGGATGGCCAGGAGACCATCCTACAACAGGCCTTAAATGTTCTTAACACCTGAACTTATGATAATAATATGATCGTAAATACTGATAAAAACCCACCTTTCAATTGTTTTCCCTCAGTACAAAACATCACGACAACCAACTTCAGTTTAATGACAAAGACCTGAATAGAATTTTTGATACTGTCTACTTGGGTCTTCACTTAGACCCAAAATTATCTTAGACAAAGCATGTTGATTCAGCTGTTGATAAAGGATATGCCAGATCAAGACTATTGAAACATTTAGCTGGTGTCACTTGGAGCTCAAGCCAAGATGTCTTGTGTGTAGCCTATAAAAGTTATGTTCCTCCTGTTATTGAATATGGAAACGAGGCTTTGATAACCACCTCAGACTCTGTTAAAAACACCCTTGACCTATTCCAAAACAACATTTTGCAACTGATCACTGGTGACGCTAAATCAATCCCCATAGTTGCTATGGAACTTCAGACTGAACTAGAACCATTAAATGAAAGGTGCCAAAGGGTGGGCCATAAACCTCGTTGAAAGAAACTTATGAAGAAAAAATAATTTTCTAAATTATTACAGACCAGCAAACAAAACGGATTAAAAACCCATAATTCAGTCCTTTCTACTGTCCATGATCTTTATGATACCTATGATATTCCTACTACGGATCGCCAGGTTTTTCCTCAGGAATTAAATCCTGTTCTAGATCAAACCATGTTGGAGGGCCACCTGGATCTTGTTTGGAATGTCAATAAACAGCTCTCCTTACAAAGTGAATTAAAAAATGCTGCTCTGGCTACTATATATAGTAGGTAACCTCCTGATGATTGGCTCCATCTGTATATTGATAGTTTTACAGAAGGTGCTATAAAAAACACCAGTGTTGGAGCATATTCAAGTGCTTTCAGTATTAGCTATCCTCTTGGGAAATACTGTGACAATTTTGATGGACAGATAGCGGCAATATTGTTTGCAATTGATAGATTGGAAGAGAGTCCTGATCCCAATATTGTTGATCCCAATATAGATTGTTGCTTCAAAACCGATAACTTTAATGATAAAATTTTATTTCTTTGAATTTCAGAAAGTTCAGAATACTCCGAGTCAAACTTTGGATGCACCGTTTTAAAATGACTCTCAGGGTTACTTTTCTTTGGAATTGCTTCACTTTTCTTGCATAATAAGCATATATGTTTGTCTTTATGATTTATAAAGCAAAACTGGTGCTTCCATTCTTCATTAAAATTTGAAATGAGTGCTCGCTTAGCTTTGTTATTGTGGGTTGTTAGACATAAAGTACATACCTTGTAATTACTGATTTCAATGCCTGTCTAAAAGTTGGAAATTTGTAGTATGCTTACGAATTAACCAAAATTGTCACAGACAGACAGACAAAATAGACACATGTTTTGCTTTGTATTCACTTAGTCTTTCTGACCGCATGCACTGGCAATTGCACCAGAGGGGTTACAGTTAAATGCATCAACCACACAGTGCCATACTGTACTGTTAGGTCAGTCCAACTTTAGTTGGCTGCACTCGACAGTGAAACGTTTTGAGCAGTGCTGATGCAAAAAAGTGGCTCTTAGATTCATAGATGTAAAAATATATAATTTTAATATGTATAATATAAACCCAAAACTGCAAAATTGCATGCAAACTAGAATAATTTAGAGTGGGTGTATTGCACTGTGTTGCCGACCATTACCTACACAATAGTCTGTTATTTATCTCAGCACCACAACTTCTTTCATTTGGTTGGTGATGTAAACAGAGCTCTTCAATCAGCCATTCCAAAAAAGATATTTTCTCCAGTAATTGTGAAATGGTATTTGGCGACACACTCAAATTTTTACCTTCAGTTAAATGAGCCTCATACTTCAGTCTGTGAATGCATCTCAAAAATCTTACCAGCTAAATCATCGGTTTACCAATATCTTCATCACTAACCACCAGTGTATGTTTAATAAGGTGCAGAAATTTTTCAATCTGTAATGGTTTTAATACCATGTCAGAAATGTCACTGGTTGCCAATGATTTCTTTTTTTAATAGATAGCTTGGTTTCATATAGCCAATTTCATTGCCAGAGAAAAGGCATTTGATTAGTTTCTTTTCCCTTTCTTTGAATACATTTAATAAACAATGAATATTTATTTCAAGCATTATCAGTTATAATGACTCAAATAGTGTCAATATATTTAGGTTCCATTTATGAGATGCAGTTAAATTTGGTATCTTCATTAGTTATGCCATTCATTTTAAATTATGCTTCTACCTGATACAACTTATTTTCTTCTGGCTCACCTATCTACAAAGATGGAATTTTTACACTGACCTTCATAGTTTCTGAAGAATTAACACTGTCTGACTATTCTCGTCTTCTCAGTATTTTCCATAATATTTACCATTACCAACTCAAGGTCACGAAAAGAATGTAGCTGTTGCTACGTCACAAACATTATTTTTTCTGTTTAATAATAACTTCTTACTACTATGTTTTAAAGAAAAAAGAAAATGATTTATTACATTTTAAAGAAACTTGTTTATTATATTTAACACTTTGATCTTTTTAATATTATTTTCTCACTATTGCCATTTACAATCTACATAAAATTGTAGAAAAGATTATATATAGTTTGTAGAGGTTAAAAACTTTTATTGTAGAGTTAGTATAAGCCATATACTAAAGACTACAGCTGGTAAGAGTTAGTATAAGCCATATACCAAAAACTACAGTTGGTAAAGTTTCACACCATTTGACTAAATTGTGAATTCTAATGGCTACTTTTTATGTTGTTTGCTAAATGGCAAATGAATACACTATCACTGAGAGAAGTCTTCATTTCATAATGAAATTTCAGTTTCAACATACTTCCTAAAATCTCTCAAAAACTGGACATGAGTTGTTCTTCGCAGGCTTTATTTAACTCTCTTTTCATAGTAAAACTAGACTTCAATGTACAGGAGTAAATGGATTCTTAGGCCACATGTGAAATTATTTTGAGAGCCATCCTTATCCAGACCTTTCTCCTCCTGAGGTGAATGTTCCTTCTCCATCAAATACTGCTTCTTAATGTACTCATTATTTGGTACATGGTTCTTTGGCTTACTGCCCACAAACACTTCTCATCCAGCAGAGTCAAACTGACACTTACTTCGTCCCTTTGGATTCATCTTTGGCAGAAGAAGTTACAGCACCACCTTTATGAGATGCATGCATGGAAACCAAGGTACTTCTTTTGACGCCGACAGTTTCAGAGACAGACCTGAGCTGTTTTCATCACTAGAAGCCTTCTTATAAATATTTGTAAGATCTAGAAACAATAAAATTTTGTAACTCTACAATAAAGCATTTTTTCATGTTAATAAAACCAGGTTCCTCATCACTACTATTTTGAAACAATTAATTATATATATATATATATATATATATATATATATATATATATATATTCCAATGGGAAATAGATTTTGTTTTTTGATCTTTCTTCTCAGTAAGAGAAATTGTGGAATATAAATCAGTCAATAAAACACAAAATTGGAGGAAGCTAAATTTAATTGTAAATCATATATTTTTAATTTTTATTCCAAAAAACTGCTGGTGTTTCAGAGCAGCTCATTTAAAAAGTAATGTCAGTTTCTGTTTGAGTCTTCTTTAGGTATAAAACCTACACACTGTTCCTAAATGAAGTCTTTTTAATGAAGATTATCACTTCAAATCCCAATATTTTTACTGAGGGGGGAAAAACACAGTTGAAACATTACTCTGACAAAAACATTAATTAAATACTCAAAACTCACCATAAATGCATCTGCATTGAAAGTAACGGTACCTTCATCTAGCTGCAAATATAACTGATGATACGAAAAATTGCTGTTTTTCTTTCTGCAGTAAATAGATGCATACCCCCATTGACTCCGACATAAGCTAAAAGAAAACAATACATTATAAGCATTTAATAATCATATTACTGAAGATAAAGTACCATATATACAACCAATATTAGAAGAAATGCTAAACCATTAAGAAAAATGAAGTAAGTGAGCTGCATTGCATGACTGCAGTTCAGTGGTTAATCATTCAATGATTAAGCAGATGGATGCATTCTCAAATTTTCCTATACAGTCAAAAGTCGTTAATCCGGACTCATCGGGACTTCGGCGATTCCGGATTATAGATCACCAGTTTAAGTCTGGTAAGATGGCATGCAGAAATTATAAAATTAAAAATATGAAACCGTAATATATGAAATAAAGAACAATTATGATCTAAAGGTTATCAAAATTTACAAAAAAAAAAGCTTAATATTTATTTGTTTACTTTATTAAACATTTCTTTCAATGTAAGTTGTTTAAGTTGCTTCGTTTTTTATGTGATAATACTTTCTCTTTAATTCTATAAACAGACATAATTTCTTGTTTAGTTACAAAGTTCCGCTGTTCAAGTCCTATAATTGCTGTGTCGAGAATACCGACTAATTTGTCAATCGAAATTTTTTCGTTTTCAATAACCTCTGTCACTTTCTTCGCTTTCGGAAGCGAATTATAATGACGAGGAATTTGATTTAAATCATATCAAAGGAGTACATAGAGATGAAATACTACATTTAGTGAGGAATTATAAGCCAAATAAAATAAAAACATCTGCCCTGAAGATAAGGATAGTGCTGACAGATCAACTTCCAATTCATTGCGCGCCGCGGCGTTAAAGATAAACAAAGTTTAGATAAACAAATGTTAAAAATTTAGATAAAAAAACAAAGGATATGCCTTTATCCATTTTTTTTGCAGCAATTCCACTTTTTTTTGTTTAATGTTTAATGGACTTCGAAACATACTTTCGCTTTGTAGATCCTTTACATATTAGTAAATATATATCAGAAATTCTATTTGACATAATCGAAAGTTAAAGCTTACTTTTATAAAATTGCTCTAACAGTTTGCAAAAAATAATAAGCCGAATCCAATTCGAAGATTAAGGAACAATGCAATCTGCAACATTAACTGAATTAGATAATTTTAGCTTAGCTTATACCATCCGTTATACATTAAACGCACATTCGTAAACGTATTTTGCAGACGCACACACGCGTATTCGCAGCCGTAAAGGTCTTACGCGCATGCGTCGCAGAAAGTTTGTAGCTTTGAGGTCCGAATTAACGACTTTTGACTGTACTCGATAACATCTACCCTAACAGAAAATTTAAAGCAGGTAAATTATATTTTAAAGTATTTTTATACATTTTTCTCAGTTTGCAAATAAATATTCCTATGTAATCCCTACAATAGGAAAATATTCAACATTCAAAACATTAGTTTCACTTCATAAATACTGGTACTGTTATAATAAAAGAACTTTACAAAACTTCTCTAATAATTTCTCAAATCAAGGATTAACTGTAAAGATTGTGTCTAAATTAACCATAGATTCTGACATTAAAATATTTTAAAAAATGAAAAAGTAAATAAAATAAAACTATTTAGACATTAATCTTTGTAAAATGTATTTTAATAAAAAGAATAAATTATTTGAAAATAATTGCAAATATTTTTATTTTTGATTTTTTTTTTTTTTTTTAAAATTCTTCGCCATATGATTTAATAAACTGCAGAAAAAAATAAAAATAGTATATGAAATATAACTGTATAAATATAAATGATAATATCTAGTTGAAAATTCTGTTTCATAATGTCGCATTTAAACAAAAACTCTTCTTGTGCTTATAAGACATTCTGAGTAAACAGGACTAACCATGAGAAAAATTTGACTTCATAATGTAATAAAAATAAATATCATACTAAGTTGTAAATTTGTTAAAAATGCAATTACTTTAGCTGAATATTTTGTAGTTTCATGGTATACCTTCATGTAATTGTAAGGTTTTATAATAATTTACCAAATGTCTTTTGGGAGGGTTGCTGCTACCTATTGCTCTCTCACTTTTGAAAGATATAATGTATGTACACATAATGCACAATAATGGAGCATTTAATATGCCCAAGCATTGAAATAACACACCAGATTATGCCTATTTGTCAATGCTAGCAGAACTCCAGCAATTATCTGAGCAAGTTGTCTGCTGCATCAGAATCTTGGTGTCTTAAGTAAGCAAATGAGTTCATAATACAATTTATCTTGCTTTAATTTAAGAAGCATTTACAGTACAATTTTGAGAATTCTGCCAACTTAGTAGGTAAGCAAAAGAGGTAATCATATTACTGTCAAGAGTGAGTGGATATTTCCATCCATTTTGGTTTGTTTGTTCACCACAGAATGGCTCAAAATATTTCAAGTTATTTGATAATTGTCCTGTGTACTTAACTATGACTGATGACTCAATGGAAATTACCCGGTTTATAATTAACTTGCCTCAACCAGTTTTAAGTTTTTAGCGAAATACCTGATTAGAAATATTGAACAGAGTAGCGAGCTTTATTTTTAATACAATCTTAACCATGTAAATAGCATTAAATTGGGGAAAAGAAGCTTATGCAGAAATATGTTCATCGCAGTGACAGATGCTGTTAAATTTTTTAGCCTACTTTTCTAGTTATCTGTACATGGGAAAAGACATACACGAAGAAAATGAACTTTTTTCACTATTTCTCTTATAGATAACGAGAAAAAACACCATACTCATCTTTCCTTGACGATATGTAGAAAAATATACCAATTTCAATTCCACGTGTTTACAACTGGTTCGGAAAAGATTGTGGCAGACTGTGATTGACCAATTAAGTTCAAATGAGGTACAGTTGCATCTAAAGATGGTCTTTAATTAATAATTAGGTATGGAGTTATACAGGAAAGATTTGGTCAAAAAAGGAATTTTTGTGTTAGGCTTTCCTCCTTCTGCTTTGAGTTAGAAGAAAAGAAAAGAAAAGGGGGGAGAAGAAATTTGCAGATGACAACTAGTAAAATATTGTGTATTTTTTGGGGGGGGATGTACAAAGAACATTTTATTGGAGATGACTTTGAAATACAGAACAAGAAAAGGATCCTGCCCTACACTGATGAAGGATTCCAGTTTTAGACATTTAAGAAATGGCTGAGCAATAATTTCCTGTGCTGTGATGAGAAAGTGCTCCAGTTTTACAGACATCTAAAAAATAACTGAGTGATAAAGGTTTCTGACCTACACTGATGAAGCGTTTCAATTTTACAGATGTTTAAGAATCAACTGAGGAATGTAGGTTTTTGATCTACAGGGAGGATGAATTCCTGTTTCCTGTCTACACACTTAAAAAAAGGCCAAGTGGTAAAAGTCCCTGATTAAACTTGGACAACTTTCTTGTGTTTATGAATTTTATAAATAGACTGTTCTGGACTGATAATTAGCTAGTGACTTAGACTGTTATAAAGTGCAAAGATCCAGGAGAGGTTTCTATGGAGTGTAATAATGAATTTCATTACAGTTCAGGTTATGTGACTATTTGGTGACAAATTGTGAGACAATTGTGTGTAATATTCATGCCTGTGGTGTGAGACAGAGACTGTTTACCTTTGAAGAAAATGAATTGAATTACCTTTGAAGAAATTGAAGAAAATGATTTTTTATTATGAATTACTGAAAGCTGCTCATGTAAACACTGTTCATCTTCTCCATACATTCAGTTAAGGTGTAAATACTAATTAAAAAGTTTAGTTGAGATTATTTTAAATTTAATATGTTAATGTGGTACTTAAGGACTCATATATAAAAATGAATATTTTTGTGGCTATATGTGTTTATCTGTCTACAACAAAGCAATTAACCAATTTTAAATTATGTTATGTAAATGAAACTGGGTTAACTAATTGCAGTTGTACTAAGTCCTAAACCATTCATTTGAAAAAAGTTTAAAATTATTGCGTGTTATCCATATTGGTACTTAAACACTGCACCAAATTTATATAATTCTGAAATACAACATAAATTTTCCATACTCAAACAAAAGTTTGTTGAGTATGGAGTTTGTTGAGTACTTTTTGTTTTCTAAAGCTTGTTTTTCAGGCTTCCCCCCATCAAAATGGGATTCAATATCTCTACAGTACTAAACTAGTTTAATATGACTCTCAAAGCATAAGATATCCTTAAAGTGTTTATCTGAAATTCAGAATCTGGAAGTTCACATCTATTCAGCATCTAACATTTTTGCACTTTTAAAACTTCAGATTAAATCTAACCCGTTTCTGACATCTTCAACAGATAAAGTATTCATGAACTTCATCCTGTCACAAGAAATAAATAATCAAGTCTGTGTTCTTCATACATCTCAATCCTCAGCAAAAATCATGGGTTACACATCAAAATAAAAATTAACAATTTCACTTGCATATAATAACTGACAGAAGATTCAGCATTCGCCTATTCCCAGAAACAGAAATTTAAGATCCTCCGATTTCTTGATACTTTATCATCTTTAAAAGCAAAATAATTTTGTAAAAGAGGATATTTTAATATTCGTATAATCTTGCATGCAACCAAAAAATTATGAGCAACATACATAATACAATCTGATTTGAATTCCTCAAAGAATAATGGTCTTGTCTGACTGCAGAAAATTAATAAAAAATCTACATTCACAGAAAATGCTGTATTATTTAAATATAATAAAAAAATTGCTCCCAAAAAAAATAAAGAAAGCTACCACAGTTACTTCCACAAATTCAATATTCTTAACAGGAATCATTTTAGAGAGAATGGCGTAATAGTGTTTGTAATTTGCTTTTGAAGGCTGCACAACTTAGGATATGATGCCCCTCAAAATGAGGAAGAGTTTTAAGTAAATATATTTTTTCAATTAACATATGTGGTAATTACATTTTCCCACTGTGGTTAATTTAGGGCAAGTAACAGAATGACAAATATTGCATTTTAGTACTTTGGTGAAATTAGTTGTAATGGAAGTCAACTACATTTTTAAATTATTAGAAATTTCAAAACCTGATTGGTAGATATCAAGTTTCTGTTGTCGCCCCATACACAAGTCTTTAAACTACAAAACAGGGCCTCAGTCAGACTTGGTTCAGTCATAGTTGAGTCTGCTGACACTTCATTAGCAGCTATTTTCTTATAGGTCTTTGAAATCAATTTTCAGTTTTCTAAATGTTTTGGTCCCACAGCTTCTTATTAAGCACGCTTCAGAATAAATAGTACATAATTCCTTCTTGTACCAGCCATGTTTTCAGTCCCAGTGTACATACCAGCATTTAATGTACCCAAATCATAATGTACCCAAAATATGCTTCAAGATATGTGCAGGATATAATTTTCAACCCTGAAAGTATAATAATACTACTCCAAGTACTATAGCAGAGGTGGCCAAAGTGCAGCTCACGAGCCAGATACAGCTCTCACAGGCAATTTGTGTGGCTCATGCATATAAAATATCTGTATGAAATATGGTAAACTGAAACCATTCAGTGTTCAAAAGGAAGTAAATTATTAGTTTAAACTGTTTTTACAAAGTTATCAGGTTTTTTTTTTCTATTTAAAACCTCCTCCACCACTTTTATAATGATGTAAATACGAACTTGTGGCTTTTAGAAAACCTAGATGTGGCTCTCCAACATTCTTGAATTCAAACGTGCGGCTCTTACTGACATGAAGTTTGGCCAACCCTGTACTATAGTCTAATAATTAAAAATCGCACAGTAAAATAATCTTGAAAAATAATAAGATATTATATTTAAAACACACTGACTTTCATTTTTAATCACATTACCCAAAATAAGCTTGAAGATATGTGTAGGAGATAATTTTCAAACCTGAAAGTATACTAATACTACTCCAAGCGCTATAGTTTAATAATTAAAAATCGCACAGTAAAATAATCTTGAAAAATACTAAGATATAATATTTAAAACACACTGACTTTCATTTTTTAATCACATAAAAAGAGAAACTTAGCTATATTTGATATCAGACATGTCACATCATTTCACATATTCAATTAGATTACATCCATGTAAGCCAGCAATGGTTTTATTCTGCAATAACTTCTAAAGTTACTAACCTCAGTAATAAAAGTAATGCAAATACATTCCTTTAATTCCATGTTGAATCACGTATCAAAATAAAATATTGAGCCTAATCAATGTTATCAAACATTTTCTTATTCAAAAACCTAGCAGAAGATATTCCCAAAAAAACTGATGAGAATAGGCAATGGAAATGAAGGAAAGCTTAAAAACATACTACGTCACTATATTTCCTGGCCTCAAAATCAATATTACTCTGACAACCCAACCCATAACGTAACGGATGCTGCTAGATACTAGGTGAGCTCACACAGGTATAAGAAGAATGAAAAACATTTGCAATGATCACTTTTAACAAGAAATGCAAAATGGAAGGGAAATTAGCTAAATCACGGATTCTAAACTAGTGGAGAAATTTCTCCTAACGGAGGGAATTTAACCCTCTCACTGCATACTTTTTTTATCAAAATAGGTTCAAAAATCGCGTATTTTTTTTATTACATATCTCAAATCTACATATGTTTTAGAGTTAAAATATACAAAAATTGTTTCTAATTTTTTTTCAATATAGAATAAGATTATAGAAAAAGGTTGTCAGAATACTGAAATTGAAGAATAATGATATAAAAGGAAAATTTTGAAAATTAATATTGCTTAAATTGTGATTTATTTTATAAAATACAAAGGTAAAACATATATACTAATGAAAATATTTGCATAATATAATATTTTGCATATCAATTTTGCACCACTGTTGAAAGTTTTCAATAGAAACTGAATTTTCCGATTCATCACTATCTGCAGAGGAATCCCAGAAATTCTCATCAGTTTCGCTATAACTATCTTCAATATACTTAAAATCAGAGTCAGAACTACTATCAGTTTCGTAAATATCATCAGGAATATAGGTTATATCACTCGCGAAATGCTTCCTGCCAGACATCTTTGAACTCTGAAAAGTGCGCACAAAATGCTGCATTACATATTCTTGTATATTTGGCAGAAATGTGGACAACTAACACCATCTGTTAGCCCACACTTAAATAAACAATTAAAACATCACAGAAATGCCGAAAGGAAACCTTGAAAGGGGAAAGAGTGGGTTGCACAGTTAAATAGATGGCAAAAATTCATCCCCAAAGAAATTGCGGGTTGCGCAAATTTCACTACTTCTGCATTGCCCGTGGAAATTGCGGGATGCGTAGTGAGAGTGTTAATGCTTTCAGGGGGTTGAACTCAGTATAATAGTTTCAAGTATGTAATAAAATACTACGGTCAAAGAACAACTAAGGCTTGGTTGAAATCAACTGGTCCCACTAGCCTGCTCAGTAAAAAATGACAAGTGTTGGATAATTGTTGAAAAATCGAATATGTTCACAAAGAATCAGAAAACATTCGTTATCAAATTTCAAGATGTTTCTGGGTGCAACATTAGCAAACATCTTTGAATGGATTGATTAATTAGACTTTTGCACTTCAATGCAATGGATTTATCACATGATACATGAGCTCAAATTTACAGTTAATTAAATAATTCACTTATGAAAAAATCTATATTACATGGACAAATGGATAATACATACCTCTGCCACAAAATCTGATCTTGAGCAAGCTCTCCCCAAACACATGCTGCTAAGCATAAATCAGTTGCATTCAGGTGTGATAAAACACAAAGACTTATTTCAGGTGGCAAATCAGCAAGATCAGGAAATCCTAAAGGTAAAATTGGCAATATACATAATAACAGAAATATGAATCAGGTGTACTCAATGGAAATAATTATGCAAATATTTATATATACAATAAATAGCTTGAAAAAATGCAATAAATAGCTTGAAAAAACTATCATATTTTTAACAATAATAAAGTTAAATACAAATAAAACTTGTAAAATCACACACATGAAGTAAAACATTAGACACAAAAATATTCAGTTTTAAAAAATATTCAATGCCATTAAATATTCAGTTACTGAAATTAGAGGAATTTTATTAATTCGGTAATATTTGGATACTAACAGATTACAAAAAATTTCTGTTCAAATGATTTTGAAAAATTTTCTGCTTTCTTAAATGTTAACTCACAAAATAGAAAACATTAAATCAAACTTTCACAGATTACTTGACCCAAACATGAAATATAAGATATAACTTACAAATACGACATACAACAAAACTTTCTATATCATACAGCGAAAGTAGTATGAAACAGTACTCGACCAAAAATCAATAAATAAATACATAAATAAATAAAAATAAGCACTCTGCCATCCTTCTAAGTACCAATCAAATAAATATGACTAAAAGTTCACAACTTCCATAGAAGTACCATAGCCTCCAAGCAAAAAGCAAAATCTAATATGCCAGGAGAGATTTGGTTTACTTGATTATGGCAAAGCACTCGAGGACTAGATGCCTAAGGGAAGGGATGTCTTTGTGGAGTAACTTCTAAGGGAAACTGGCTCGTATACAAGTTACACATGGAAGATAATCACGAAAATGTCCATGTAGACAGCCTGTACATCAGGATTCGAACCCAGACTGAATTACCAGTGTTTAATAATTTTAGCGTTCAGCCACTGGTGGGCTTATGCAAGGAGAGAAAGAGCATAGGAATAATGCATAAGTAACTTAAAATGTGTAATTATTGGATCACCAAGGAGCACCTGAAATCAGTTTAACACTGAAATTTATGCAAAAATTCCTTAAAAACATAAATATTGGAAAACATGATATGAAATGTATTCATCCCTGACATAAGGAGCTTTATATGGTCATCCATTTGCTTTCTAACTTTCTCAATTACTTCTGAAAGTAAAATATCATCAAAAATTCCCTTAATAAATCTGAAAACACTACCTCTGATAAACAACTATGTTAGGTTATTTCATAACTTGTGTTTCTTTTACATCTAGTGTGATAGCCATCATAAATTTTACTGATTTAGTCTACTAGCAGAAGAATCAATAGCAGCTGTTACAGTAAGGTCATTGACTGAAGTCAAATTGTAGTTAACTGGGATCTGACAAAATCATAAAACACAAAGAAATTTCCTTTCGCAACCTTAATAAATACTGACTTTCGCATCAGATCGCATTGTGGTTAATAAATTGTGAGCATAAATTTATACAGTCAAAAGTCGTTAATTCGGACACCCATAATATGGAATGATCTATAATCCAGACCTCAAAGCTACACACTTTCTGCGCATGCATTGCATTGACGCTTGCGCATAGGCGCTTACGCATGCTTGTAAGACCTTTACGGCTGCGAATATGCGTGTGCGCATAATATGTTTATGCATGCGCGTTTAATGTATAACGGACAGTATAAGCTAAGCTAAAATTATCTAATTATCTATTTAAATTAATGTTGCAGATTGCATAATTCCTTAATCTTCGAATTGGATCCGGCTTATTATTTTTTGCAGACTGTTAGAGCAATTTTATAAAAGTAAGCTTGAACTTTTGATTATGTCAAATAGAATTTCCGATATATATTTACTAATATGTAAAGGATCTACAAAGCGAAAGTATGTTTCGAAGTCCATTAAACAAAAAGTGGAATTGCTGCAAAAAATGGATAAAGGCATATCCTTTGTTTCTCTAAGCATTCCGAAATCTGTTTATCAATTTCACGCTGCTCTGGGGGGGGGGACAACCACAGCGCGCAATGAATTGGAAGTTGTTCTGTCAGCACTATCCTTATCTTCAGGGCAGATGTTTTTATTTTATTTGGCTTATAATTCCTTACTAAATGTAGTATTTCATCTCGATGTACTCCGTCTTTGATATGATTTAAATCAAGTTCCTTGTCGTCATAATTCGCTTCCGATAGTGAAGAAAGTGACACAGAGGTTATTGAAAACGAACAAATTTTGATTGACAAATTAGTCAGTATTCTCGACACAGCAATTATAGGACTTGAACACCGGAACTTTGTAATTAAACAAGAAATTATGTCTGTTTAATAGAATTAAAGAGAAAGTATTATCACATAAAATGAAGCAAATTAAACAACTTACATTGAAAGAAATGTTTAATAAAGTAAACAAATAAATATTAAGCTTTTTCTTTTTGTAAATTTTGATACCCTTTAGATCATATCTGTTCTTTATTTCATAAATTATGGTTTCATATTTTTAATTTTATAATTTCTGCATGCCATCTTACCAGATTTAAACTGATGATCTATAATCCGGAAAAATCGATAATCCTGACGCGTCCAGATTAATGACTTTTGACTGTATATTACCACTTGTCACTGGATGAATCAGGTTCTTCTAATTCAGCAATAGACTGTTTTAAATTTTTAAAGCTGAAGTCATCAATCTCTAGCATAATAAAGATACCTTGATTTCAAACAAAACTATACCTAATATGTTGAAAATTCATTTTATGTGTTTCACTGCAGATGGTTAAGTCAATAATTAAGGCAACATAGAACTTTGTTTCACCTTTATCTGATTATGCTAAAGCATAAGCAGGCCACTGAACACAAGTATCACAAGTATAACTAGTCTTGTCGCAAAAAATAAAAACCAAGATCCTTGCTTCTATAACAATAAACAATAGATCAATCATGTCATTTTCCAGTGGAGGTGGACTGGTGATTTAGCCATCAAAAAACATTTTAAGCGATCGTATACTTTATTCATTTGTACTCAACACTAACATGAACATCCTGGTCCCCCACTGAAGTCCCTGGAATTTCTACGCGGGGCCAAATGTTCATCAAAATTTAAATTCCAGGGAATTTCAAAAATTGATGATTTTTCAAACTTTTTATTCTATAATGAAAATACTCTTCATAAAACACAAATACTTATATAAAAATTATTAGATGTGATGACACAGTTCACAGTTTTTAGTCTATAGGAAGAAACAATTTTATGGCAGGTCCTTTTATGATACCATGACCAGTTTTAATAGCAAAATTTGATTTTATTATTTGAGCCTGGATGAACAGCAATTTTTCTCCCTAACTTCCATTTAAGTGGTAGAAGATTATTGTATCTGATGAGAACAAAGTCAATCACTTCTAAATCTTTTTGTCTTTTTTTTCCACTTTGGTGTTTCCTGTAGTTGAGACAGATATTTTCTACTCCATCTCTTCTAGAATCGCTGAAAAATAAATTGTCTCACATGCCATTTGTCAAGAGCTGTGATTTAGACCTTGTTTAGGTATAGCAGTTAAAAATGGTCCTACCAAAAAATGACCTAGTGCTAAAGCAGTTGAATCATTTGGGTCAGATGATGTTGGACACAATGGCATAATATTGAGACAAGCCTCAGTTTGCACTTTTTGAAGTTCAAAATTTGTGATAAGTCAGTACAGTGTCACCAACAGTTCTCTTTAGAGGAAATTTCATTAACTTTATGAGGTACTTCTCAAACCTGCTTAGGGTGCCTTCATGGTGTAGTGGTCTGCATGCTGGGCACGTATTCTAGAGGTCCGTAACTCAATTCCTGGCAAAGGCATTGCTCTTTTTTCACTTCTTCCTGTTTCAAAAATAATCTAATGATTCTATGACTTCACAGCTGATTCCCACAGTCTGCCAAAATGGGAAGCTGACGGTTGGTTAAATATCAATTTTACTTCCTCTAGAAACAAAAATTTATGAGTTTCTTGATTTTGCTTGCACTGCAAGAAGCGCTTTTCTGTTTTCTTTCTCTTTTCCTTCAAGTTAGTTCCATAGTCATTGTAAATCTCAGCTAGATTTTCTTTTTGATATAAATTGTTTTAATGTGCATAAAAATGCCTTTGTTGGAAGATTACACCATTTCAAGATAGATTGCTTTTATTACAAAGCATACAAATAAATACATGTACAATTTAAATGATTTTGGCCTGCGTCCTGCAAAATATTTGATCAAGAACATCCTAAAAAATCTACTCTGATTCAACGAAATAGTCATGATTGTATTATTTCAGGTACTGGTAGAATTGCCATTATTTGACTTGCAGTTTGAGCTCTATGTTTGCAACACATAAAACAAGTTCTTACTAATTTTTGAATAACAGATCTAGCATAGCTAGCAGCTATGATCTAAAATTGCTGTCTAATTAAAGAAAAAAGTTATGGTGTTGCATGCAGATATTTTTTTTTTTTTTCATTCTCAGATAGTTGTGCATTTTCCAGCTTTCTTACTACTCATAACATTTTATCATCATCTAAAGATGGACACTAAGTACATTGCTATTTGGAGGTAAATCTTTTCTTTTTATCAAACACTGAATTTCTTTACATAAGTTCAATCATGGTACTATTGAAGTAACACAGAGTGTTGCAGCTCAAATTTCATTACTAGATAAGAATATGACTCTTTCAAAATGTGTTTACCTTTGAATTTAATTTGAATCTTAATATCAAAGCAAAATGCATTGTAACTTCGAAAATGAGGATATTTTTTATATAACGGTAAGTTTCTGTACAATTTCAGAAGCTACAAATGATACTGGTTTATGTCCTTCTGGTAATGCTTTTTCATCCGTAGGAACATATTTAGACACAGGAGCCTCAGTGCACTCACTCACTGAACCAAAGAGGTTCATTCCACCACAATTCATGAGACAGCAATTTTGCAGGAAATAACCCATGTGAAGCCTAATCAGCAGGATCTTCTTTTCCATCAACATGACTCCAGTTCTCAGCTGGTAAGATGGCTTTCAATCCAGAAACTGTTGGAAATGAATACTTGCCACCTTTTAGAA